AAAATTGATGGATAAATGGTTTCTCTTTAACTTTGGAAGACTTTCTCTCTAAGATTTTCCCCCTCCTAAGCAAAAACAAACGAAAGCTATGCTGATGTTATATTAGTTGGTTGTTCAAGAAGCGGAGTTTCATCCATTGTTTTTGTACTTGATTTTAATGCTGCATTATTTGTAGATGTTGTAGGTGAAATATTCTTTTTCCCTGTATTAGTTGATGATGGTGATGTAGTAGATTTTGATGTTGTAGTTGGACGTCGACGTCTAAAGAATTAAAAATATTATGATGAGAAAATATTTTGTTTTTTTTATATTGAGAAAAAAATTTACTTTTTAATACAAAGGAATATACCTATACCAACAGCTATAGCAAGAACAATTATACTAGCAATAACACCGATAATAATTTCTTTACAAAAAAAAACGAATTGTTTTATTTAAAAAAGAAAAAATATGTTTACTTGTGTACCTTTTTTCATTGTTCGTTTTGTTACTGTTCCATTTAAATTTTTCATATTATTATCTTCAATTACTGGTATAGCTATTGTTGTTGATAGAACAGTTGTTGATTTTATAACAGAATGTATTGATGAGTCAGATGCTGGCTCATATGCAATACCATCGTGATTATATTGTGGGCGTGCTATTGATGGAACAACTAGAAAAATAAAAATTAATTTTCAATACGTAAATTAAAACTTATCAATAGATGATCATATGTCTTTTTTTTTTCTATTAACCTAATATTAATAATAATCAATTCTAATAATAGTAGTCTATATACCTTTATATCGTATCTTAAAATATCTTGGTTTTTTTGATACAGATGTTTGTAATGATATATATAATGACTTGGACGAAATAAGATAACGTGCATTTGATAATGGGTTATTTGTTGAATGTTCAACACCACACCATGTATAATAGGATTTCCAAATATTTTTAGAATTTTTATTTGATGTTATATCATCAGAAAAGGAATTATTGATTAGTGAATTAATATATCCAAAAATTTCTAAATATTCAGATCGGCATCTAATTGCTTCTTGTAAACGTATTTGGATTGGTGCTAATTCAATATACATTGATGGACCCGCCTCTAAAGATGCGAAAGAAATATATATTGTGTTTAATGAAGGAAAAAAACTAATCATACCAATATTAATAGAACATTTTAAATTATCTGCCATTGGACGAGGATAAGCTGGTGAAACAATAAATCCATAAAGCGTATTTTGGATAGGGGCTGTATCATGACACATTGTATAAACTAATTAAAACAAA